ATATATACCACTTCAACTCTTGGCCGTCTACAAAGCAAACGCCGAGCTCCGACTTATTTATCGAGAATCTCCGAACCTCCTTCCATTATAAATTCATTGTCGATCTCTTGAATCAACAAATGTGAAGATTTTTGTCGATGGCGCCGTGTTCAACAAGTTTTCGATCATCACTGTGACCTGATAAAATAGGACGAGCTTGAATTATAAACAAGCTGAAGATGATCAAGGAACAACAACAAACCACTGAAGATCTCATCTCTGCCTCGAAATGTTAAAAATATATTTATGAGATTGACAACAAAAGGTTTATGAAAAATGTGTACTTGTGTCAAAAGTTATGGGTACTTCATTTGTTGAGCATTTTTCTTCTTTTGTTAATTAAAACATAGATTAATATAACTCAATTACAGATAAGATTTTAGTATTAACTATTTCGTCTTGTGAGTGGCATGGATAATACTAATTTTTAAGGATTGCATAACATCAATATTTTATTAGGAGGTTCAAACATCTAATGATGACAATTTAATGAACCATAATTTACGGACGGTCTGATTCTCCATGATAAACGACCCAATTTTAATGTCTCTAATTATTGATCCAAAAAAAAAAAATGTCTCTAATTATGTGTGCAGATACGGATGAGAATTTTCGAAAGTTCGAATATAGAGATTTATAATAGTTCTTTTTTAGGAATCATGACAGTAAAAAGGTCCATGTACCTTATTTACTACTTTGGATTCATTTTCAGTTTCAACGTGAAACATTCTAACAGGTATCTTCAAGATAGTAGTGGAACAAGCTCATTATCTCAAAAATATCGATACAAGACGAGCCCATGAGACATAAGTCTATAAAGTCATTTATGGATTTTCATAAATACTATTCTAAAAGTTATGAGCAATTTAAAATCAATTAGTAGTGAAACCTTTTTCAAATCCCATACCGAAAATGTAAAACTTCACGAAATACTAGACCAGAGTGATTTCATGTGTCATTCATGGGTTATGTAAATAAATCGCAAAATCTTTCAAAAAAAGTTTTAGTTCATAAGATTTTTCTCTATATATATAGTCGATTGGTTCTCTTTCAATGGCTTACACTTTTTGGTTTTTTTCTTGGCTTCGTAGGTTTCACTTTTCACGAATCAGAAAGTGTCGTTAATTTTTTTCTTACTTAAAAGTTAAAATACTCAAAAAATTAGCCAATCCTCTGCATTTTTCAAACTCTTCGTGGACCTTCACTTTATTTTTTAAATGATCCAATGGTCTCGCAAAGGTTGACATAAAATATTACTTCGTTAATGAGTAGTATCATTCATATATTTGTCCCTGAGCCTGTTTCAACGGAGATTGAATTGAATAAGGCATCCCATAATTCATAGATCATTAGCGTCAACGGTTAATTGTATACGTATTATTTTTATATATATACTTGATAGGAGGACAAGGAATCTCAAATTTTATACCAAGTATATATAATTAAATCTTAGTCAACTAATTCGTGCAAGCCACATGTAGACAACTATGTCAACTTTAAATCCCACGTTACTCTAATTAGTCTCTAAACGAATAAATGATGATAAAGCTAATAATATAGAATCGTAGTTTGAAATTTGAAAAATTGAACCAGAAGGTACAACTTTCCCGCAATTTCTAATTCGATGTATGATTCATAATGCCTGCAACATGGGACTTTCCCACCAAGTATGATATATGGCATTTTTCTTTTTGTTGACCAGGAATTTTTTTTTGTTGGCTTAGAGATTAGACTAAGTTAAATTAGTTATATTCACTGTTGATAAAAAACCCACAACCAATAATTTGATAGTAAGCAAAAAGAATAAAGAACTAGATCTTCGTATGAATCTTAGATGAATAAAGATTGCAAATAACGAAAGATATTTGTATTAATATAACCGAAGGAATTAACTCGAAAGTAACAGAGCAGAGCTCGCAATATATAGTTCTAGTTGGACGACCGTCAAAGACAGAATCAAACGCGTGGTATACACGCACGGCGATTCTTCTCTCTAAATTTAAGCCGCGTTTTCACCGTATCTCAGCTCTGATCGCCTCTCTGGAGGCCGGTTCCGACCGACTCCGTGAGAGGGCAACCGCCTTTCCTTTCTGTTGCTCAGTTCTCGGGCCTATGACTTTAACGGAACCTCTTGTTTAGATCTGGATTTCGCGGTGTGTGGTGGAAGAGCCGCCGTTTCGTGACGGCCGAGTCTGGGTGTGAGGGTCTTCTCCGCCGTGCCTCTCTCGCTTGTCGATGGCGGAGCGTCGTCGGCTGGGATCTGTTGCAGCCTTCCACTAGCCTCACGTTTCTTCGTCCGGCGTGGATCCATTCGTAGATCCGCTTCCCCCACTACGATTCCGGCGACGGAGATTTTTTCAGCGGCTAAGGAGCGACGTCCGATAGACGTGTCCAAATCTCTCCGTTCTCAGTGGTTTCGCAACTTCTATGGATTTCTTTGGAAGATCCGCCGCGCTCCGGTTTTCTTCCGGTGGTTTGGCTCCCTCTACTTCGGGTTACTCTGTTCTGGGACGGTTGTAGCTCCGGTGGAGAAGCATATCTCATCACTCGGAAGACCGTTGTTGTCTCCTAGGGRAATGGCTCTTTGAGATTTCRAGTGTCGGTGAATGAGAGTGTTTCTATTTTGYTTGTGGCCGTCCGATTGCTCTCRTTMYTTGAGTGTTTTCAGTGTCGGGTTTGATTCTCTTGCTTCGCCTGTCTGTTTCAGAGGAGTTGGAAGGCGTGTTTAATGGTGGTTCTGTTATGGGTATTTGGACCTGGTCATCCACGGCTATGAGGACCGGCTATTTGCTCTCCGGCGAGGACCTTGTTGACTCGATGACTTCCTCTTTTAGCGGCTATCGTGGTTTTAGTTTCACTTCACCTTGTCCGGTTTTGTGTGGTCTGGCTTTGGACTTCCTCCTTTGCATTTAGTTTGTTTAGTGATTCCTGAGTCGCTTCCGACCAGCCACTAACAACTCTCCTTGACGGATCATGTGACTTAACTGAGTCTAAGACAAGGTTTGGTCATGTTCTAGTTTTGGGCATTGGATTGCTGCATTGCCGGTATTGGTTTTCTGATCATCTGCAGATACTTTTGGATTAAATTAGAGGGTGTCGCTTTTCTGAGAATTTATCCGGATTTATCCTTCTCGCTTTCATTGTTGGTTGGAGGAGTTAGTACAACCATTTTTTTTGTGGATTCTCTTGCTTCGTGTCATAGTAGTGTTAGTGAGAGGAGCTCAGCTCTTTGGCTCGTCGTAGTTTCGTCCAAGTTGTTTTCTCAGGTTGTTAGATTGGTTGTGGTGGACTTTATCTATTGAGGATTCATCTTGTGTATTGGGCTGCCGGGGAAGGGGCTTCCATCAAACTCTTTCTGTGTTTTGGCGATCTCCGTATATTTCCCAAATTGTGTTACTCTCGTATTCATTTCCTCCAAGGATTTTGGTTAGTCCTACCATTGTAATTTCACGCCGTAACCATGAGATTACGGTAGTTGTTACTCTGTTTCTGTTTGCTTTCATATTTTAATTCGTTAAACGCATGAGACCAAGTTATAAGGTCATGCAATGTATGATTTCAAATGCTCTTTTGAATAATATTTACATTTTATAAAAAAAAAAAAAATATAGTTCTAGTTGATTGTCTAGGGTAAAAATGATGAAGATCAGAATTTGCTTCGAAGAAGCCAGCTTTACTCATTTTATAGCACGTAAAAAAAAAACAGGCTCAACCGCTCCTATATTCGCGCGACACATTCTCTTCATGATCCCGAATATTCATCACGTGCTCCGAGATCTTTAGCTTGACTGATTCCATCTATTGTCCACGAACTCTTCTTTAGCGTGCAACTCGTAAGTAAATCCCTTAATTATTTCTTCAGCCCACATCACATGCCTTATTAACTGGGCCCATGCCAATGGATATTGGGCTTCTCGTCGGGCTGGGTTTGGTACAAACCCGTCACGAACATTCACAATCGTCAAAATTCGTGATTTTGAAAAAAAAAATATTAGAAATCTTATACATGCACTAGTTAAACTATTGATGCTTGTTTATGTCTTACAATTTTGTTGAATGCCAAAACTGAGTTTTTGTCGAGCAATTGAGTCAAATAGATATTTAAAAAGTCAACAAAATCATGGGCTTTAATGGGTTTTCTAAAATTGGGCCAATTTTTTTAGCCCAACTCAGATTTATGTGATAATTCGGTCGAGTTTTTAACTTTTCCGGTTGACACGGAATTTTTTCGGTTCACCGCCTGGAACCACCGATCACCACCTTCTCGTCACGGTGACCCTCCGATCACCGGATAATCGAACGAAAACTCGGCTAGGCGCCCGCGTTTTCGAACATTGCATAATACTAAGCAAAACAGTTAGCATTTTTAAATTTAATAGTCAATGTATAGTAGATTTAGTAGTGATAGCTATGGAGGATAAACATCTAAACGCAGATAAATTATTTGATGTAATGTTTTCTAGCTCCAAAGTATAAGATACAACAACTAATGTGTAAATTTTTATTCTTTTCTCATCCTAAAATGTTCAGAACTCAAGGTGAACGAAAAAATTTAACTAC